CCAAAAATGTATAATATTCCTTTAGAAGGTAAATGAACATTTCAGTTCATGCTGTTCTCCAAAGTATAACAAAGTCAACCAGCAGTCACTCTGACAGTCTGCTAGGACAATCAAAACTCTGGTTTATTAGTTAAAGAGATAGTTCGTCTACACAAGTCAACATCATGGCTGGCAGGGACTAAACTCTTATTTATTCTACCCATAATCCACACTGTGTGCATCCAACTTCTAATTCACTAATAAGCCAAAAGCCACTCCACACACATTTCAACCTTTCCGCTTGGTCCAGAGTTTTGCATGGCCCTTATCCTGTAGCTGTCAATTCAAATACATTGTGAAAGACAGTTTCTAACTAAAGATATTTAACAATGTGATTAGATCATTGTGGAGTGATTTAAACTGGGCACCTTATTAGTATTATTAGTATATGCCTTATTCTTGTCAAATCCTCTTTATTGTAATTCATCATCTACAGAAAATTTGTGAAACGTACATATTTTTATATATTTTTTCATACCTCTGAGACTGTATATATGGCATGAAAAATAGTTCAATTCCAATAAGTCTGATATTTTTTTTATCATGTGTGAATGTCTGGTTATACATGTATGAGTTGTTGTTAATACTTTTAAAAAATTCTAAATTCTTGCTAATATCAGAAAAGAATTCAAAAGTATATAAAGGTTATAAACACTTACCCAGCGTTTGGTGAGTCTTCATTTGTCAGTGGTTTATTGCATTTTCTGTTTCTCTTCTCTTCCTTCTGTCCAAATGATCTTTTTTTATTCTCCTTTATATGAAGTTGATTCAGAAACACGTCACCAGGGTTCAGTTGTAGTAAGTTCATGTGCTTCATCTGCTAATGTATGTGGATGTTTCTTCCTTAAAATGTAAAACATAGGGAAATCATGCAAAAATACAAACTTTATAAATTGCTAATTGATTAGAAGGGCAAGCTGAAGGAGAATCCTTAAAGTAATACTAACATGTGGCTTGTTTTAAAATGGATAGGGCAAGAAAGGTTGAATAAAGGGCCCCTGTACTTGTTGTTAGGTACTTGACGACGGTTCACCTCTCATCCAAGAGGCTTCTTCAGTTCTCTTGAGGAGGAGATGAGTAACTACTTTTCCACTTAAAAACTGCACTATGTTTTTACTTCACTTGTTTTATTCCCTTTGCATTGCTGATTCTGCCTAAACTCTGTTTAGCTTGGCGTGTGTTATTGTGCCATTAAATGAAGACGTGCAATTCAGTTCAGCGCTCCAAAGCATCAACAACATTTTAACAATGTCCTGCAGTAGTCCCGAGCACTATACCAAGTCAACCTTTTTGCATAGAGAACATACTGTTCTTCACCAAGATTTTTCCCTAAATAAAAAAAAGAGAAAGAAATCCCAGTTATTGTGTTTTTGCACCTTGCTGAATGTATGCAGGTTTGTAAGGATTTGGTTTCAGCTGGATCCAGCTCTGCAAAGAAGTTAATGTTTTTTGGTCTCCTTTATTTGTTTGTCTGCCTGTTAGCTAGCAGGATACATTAGACCATATGCAAGAACATTTTTGTATTTTTATCCTAAATCTCTCTTGCTTTTTTTTCCAGGTCAGATTTAGCAAACAAAAGTAAGAAGAATAACTCCACACTGCAGGTTTGACAAAAACATAACAAGTTTAGCAGGGCCAGTAATCTTATGAAGGGACATGAAACAATCAAAATGATTTACTTATCAGACAGAACACAGTGTGTCTCCTATAATAATACTACATCTGATGTGAAATATGGAGTACCCCTTGGCTGTGTTCCTCAGCCTCTGCTTTTCTTTTTTATATTTCACCTCTTGGCCAAATTATTTGCAGTCGTGGAATTAATTTACACTGTTATGCTGATGATACTCAGCTGTATTTGCATATAAAGGCTGACAACTCTTCTCAAATTACAAAGTTAGAGGTCTGTTGTCTGCTGTGGAAAGCTGGATGTCTGGAAATTTTCTGCTCATAAATTCAGATGAAAGTGGAATGCTGGTCATTAGCCTGGGCCAACCGTTTCTCTTTTGCCAGTTTGTAAATTTGGTCAAGGGCAGGAAACTTTCCTATGCAGGTACAGGACATGTGTGCAAAAAAACATCAAAACTGTGGATATGTCATATGACACCCCAGAATGATGTGTAAAACTACCAAATATACAGCCGCATTATTTTTAGTTTTTATTAGTTTTTTATTTTATCACAAAGACCTGGCATGTTAACCAGGGGTAAGTAGACTTTTTATATCCTCTGTAGTGCATGTATATACTGTATGTCTTTGGTATACAAACTTGTTTGCATGCATTTGAATGTATGCGAATGAATGACAGTCACCATCAAAGCAAACTGTATGTAGCTCATGTTACAAGCAGTTGAATACAATTTCCCAATATTGTAATAACCGCAGTTTATCAAGGGTTGTTGACCCCAAACCAAGTAATTTCTTTCTCCCTCCTTGGTAAATCTTTGTCTGCCAGAGTCCAGTGCCACATCTTAGTTGTTTGAGGCCAAGTCCTATCCACAGGCCATCATCGTAATTGTCCTCGACAGTTTTAAGAAGTGTTTTCATCTCTCCCATGTCGTCTATGGTGGCCAGGTCAAAGCAGTTCTCTCTGCAGTAGCTCTGAGCCTCATACCAGGTTTTTGGAGTTGTCACTAAAACGTATTTATGCTGGGGAAGACATGAAGACACAGAGCACAGCCCTGGGGAAGAAATGCAATAAACCTTTATGCTATGAAATTGAAATTGTCTCAAAAAAATCTTCATTTTAAAAGACATGACTTAGCTGTCGGACATATTTGAAATATCAACATGAATTTACACGAAATATGAGGTGTAACACTTACCTGAAAGAAGCAGAAGTAGATGTGAGATCCTTTCCATAACTGTAACTGTATATAAGGAGTTCATTAAAACAGGGGAAAGAGAATTTACTTCTTCAAACTACAAAAATGTATAATATTCCTTTAGAAGGTAAATGAGCATTTCAGTTTATTGTTGTTCTCCAAAGTATAAACAAAGTCAACCAGCAGTCACTCTAGCAGTCTGCTAGGACAATCAAACTCTGGTTATTAGTTAAAGAGATAGTTCGTTACACAAGTCAACATCATGGCTGGCAGGGACTAAACTCTTATTTATCTACCCATAATCCACACTGTGTGCATCCAACTTCTAATTCACTAATAAGCCAAAAGCCACTCCACACACATTTCAACCTTTCCGCTTGGTCCAGAGTTTTGCATGGCCCTTATCCTGTAGCTGTCAATTCAAATACATTGTGAAAGACAGTTTCTAACTAAAGATATTTAACAATGTGATTAGATCATTGTGGACTGATTTAAACTGGGCACCTTATTAGTATTATTAGTATATGCCTTATTCTTGTTAAATCCTCTTTATTGTAATTCATCATCTACAGAAACTTTGTGAAACATACATATTTTTGTATATTTTTTCATCATCCTCTGAAACTGTATATATGGCATGAAAAATGGTTCAATTCCAATAATTGATATTTTTTATCATGTGTGCATGTCTATATATACATGTATGAGTTGTTGTTAATAAAAATTTCTAACTATTGCTAATATCAGAAAAGAATTCAAAAGTATATAAAGGTTATAAACACTTACCCAGCGTGTTTGGTGAGTCTTCATTTTGTCAGTGGTTTATTGCATTTTCTGTTTTCTCTTCTCTTCTTTCTGTCCAAATGATCTTTTTTTATTCTCCTTTATATAAAGTTGATTCAGAAACATGTCACCAGGGTTCAGTTGTCAGTAAGTTCATGTGCTTCATCTGCTAATGTATGTGGATGTTTCTTCCTTGAAATGTAAAACATAGGGAAATCATGCAAAACCTCATAGCCTACTTAATTGATTCAGGAAGATGGAGGAGAATCCTTAAAGTAATACTAACATGTGGCTTGTTCAAAATGTTATGCATGAAGGTGTTGAATCAAGGGCCACTGACTTGTTTGTAGAAGGCATTTCATACTCTATCCAAGAGGCTTCTTCCTCTTGAGAGGAGATGAGTGCATCCACTTTTCCACTTAAAAACTCACAATGTTTTTACTTCACTTGTTTTTTAATCCCTTTGCATAAACATGTAAAGCACAACTGT